ATATGTATGTGAGAGCTGGACAATGAATAAGGAAGACTGAAGAAGAGTCGATGCTTTTGAGTTGTGGTGCTGGCAAAGAATGCTGAAAGAACCATGGACTGCTAAAAGAACTAACAGATCTGTCCTGGAAGAAGTGCAGCCAGAATGCTGCTTGGAAGCAAGAATGGCCGGACTTTTTGTCACCTACTTTGGTCATGTTGTCAGAAGGGACCATTCCCTGGAGAAAAATGTTATGCTTGGTAAGGTGGAGGGTCGATGAAAGAGGGGAAGGCCCTCAGTGGCAATGAGCTCAAATATAGCAAGGATGGTGGAACTGGCACGACACCAGGCAGTGTTTTGTTCTGCTGTGCATAGGGTCGCTGTGAGTGGGAGACGACTCAACGGCACCTAACAGCAACAACAACATCAGTGAGCAGGGTTTTCTGTATTGTGTCCTGTCCTGTTCAAGGCTGGGTTTGTCTTCGAAGAGGAGCCTAGGAGATGAATTCTACATAGTGAGAAAGAGCAGGAGTGGAAAGTGCAGGAGGACAATTACAGCCATGGATCTCGTGATCTAATCTGCACAGTGAAGTACTTAATTCCCAAGAGAGAGCAGGATGGTGACAAGGATTTGTGACCTACAGATGAGAAGTCTCAAAGGAATCGAAGTCTTGGGGAAACTGAGGTGCTCATTTGAATGATCAAAAGTATGTTGTTGTTGTTGTTGTTATGTGCCGTCGAGTCGGCCCCGACTCATAGATCAAAAGTATAGGGGCTGATATTCTGGGAACGTGATCAATGAAAATGAGACCCTGGGGAAGAATGCGTAATGAGAAGACACAGCACGTAATTCCAAGTGGAGGGTGGTCTACTGCTGTTAGGAGAGGAACAGTCAAGGAGGAGAGACCAGAGAACCAGAAGAATCATAATCTCGCGATCAAAATCACCCAGAAGTTTGATTGTAGCTGTTACGGAGAGAGTTCCAGGGAGCTCTGAGCGGAAATCTCCATTGAATGAGGGGGTCTTTCCTGAGGCATGGTGGACAGTGACAATGAGATACCCCAGCACTGGGTGCTGTGAGCTTCAAAGGGGGAGAGTGAAAAGAAAAGAGAAAAGGTGGTAGTGAGGGAACAGTGAGGAACAGGAACACCATTCATAACTGCATGACCAGACCAGAAGGAAGTCTGATGTGGGGAAAAACAGACCTTATCTTCGAAAGATGCGGGGAGTATTAAAGGAGGTATACAAGTAAAATCCTTAAAAAAAAAAAAAAAAAAGTCTAACCTGTGAGTATTAGAAAGTGGCTGTTAGTTGTCATTGTTGGTGGTGTTGCCTGTCACGTCTACTCAGTCTTCACAATATTGCTGTGAGGCAGGCACTAGATGACAGTAGACTCTGGCATTGGAGAAGTGAGGTGTGGTCTTCAGATACTTGTTACAAATCTCATCTGGACTTATCTTTGGTATTTGACAGGAATCACTGGGGACTGGAAAAATCATTTCACGGTGGCCCAGAGTGAAGCCTTTGATAAAATATACCAAGAGAAGATGGTGGGGCTTCCTCGAGGGCTTTTTCTGTGG